ATAAGATGATGATTGATCTTGTGACCTTCCTACTCTGTCTAGTGGAGGTATAAAAAAGCCTCAAATCCTCTCTAATGTAATAATTGGTTTTATTTAAACTTCTATGTGTAGAATTTATTTAGAACGGATTATCTATAAGAGTAGTTTTCTAAGTGTTAAAATACTTGTTTGAGAACTGTTGTTATAAATAAAACTTAGCTCTTTAACAACTTCATTCAGTAGGTAGGTCTTTCTGTTGAAAAATGTGGATGTCCTCCATAAACCATAATTGCATATATGTAGCATAAATATTGTTTCTTTATTGGATTTGTTGCAGAAATAAAACCTCTTTGTGTATAAATGGACTTGGTTTTGAACTGTGAAAATTTAATCGTGATAGTTTATTGGTTCAGCTCTGGAGAAGCTGAGGCAAAGCTATTTTGCTCCAGCCAGAGCTATTTATATACCATCACCGTGAGCTCCTTTTTATATTATTGGTGTTATGCCTACTAAAAAAAGGAGTGTTAAAGGAAAACTTCGCATTTCTTTTTATTCTGTGCCCTTATTCACCACAATGATATTTTTAGAGGTTATTTCATCTAGCTATCTCTCTTCAGGAAAGGCTTTATCTTTTTCACAGTAGAGACAGACAAGAACTCAGCTTGAAGCCATTTCTTCTCAAGCTTTCCTTTTTGAAGGGTGAAAGGATCAGAGAAAGTGGGACTTTGTGTGCGAATTGAGCCTCTTTGCCCTTAGGCCCTTCCTGAGCAGCACATCTGCTTCATTGAGGGGAGAGATGACCAGGAGTTTTAATGAAAAAGACAACTTTAAGGAAAGAGGTTAAAATTTAAGAGACTGTTTCTTTTGAGTTTTTCTATGCAAAAAGAAAGATCTGGCTTAGAAGTTTATCCTCACTTTGTTTTGCTTCCAGAGAAAACCATTATTCTGCTTAGCTTTCCTTTTATAAAAGTGCTTTGCTGAACAGGGCAGGCAGGTAATCATTTATTGTTGCAAACATCTGCTGAATTGGCCAAGTACAGAAGAAGAATGACAGCCGAATGGCTGCTTCAGAGGCTAGAATTTGTGAGCTGAAGCTTGGAGGACAAACTAAGTTCTAAGGGAGCACCAGATACAACCTCAGTGTCCTGTAACAGAGCAAAATTTGGAAACATGAGTAAATTTGCAGCTCTAAAAGTAGTACAGTTAAATATCCAAAAGTGTCAGATTTCAGGCCTTGATATGAAGCCTCAACCATTTGAGCAGTGTTTTTGCCTCAGAGGCAAGCCCTTGCGGATCCTTGGCACTGGCCAGCCATGGACAACAGTACATCATATTTAGTACTGTTTGCCTCAATTGTGGACATCAGTGTGTGTGAAAATGTACCTGCAGTGTCTTCCATCCATGTGTTCAGGTCATCGACGAGATGTTAGACTACACGTCAAGTTTCTGTTTTGATTTATTATCCGTTCTAGGAGATAATGAAATAATATCTGAAGTACCATTTTTATTTTATCCTAGAACATGAAACAGTATGTTTCAAAAGACATCATCACTTGAGACCCTTTCCTTTAATATTTAGCTGTTATGCACATCTTTGGATTATGGGGAGGGATAGTCTGGATGTCGGGTTTCATGACTGCAAATCAGCTTGCAAAAGGCCATATGAAAGATAATGCTTAATATAATTCAACTTATTTTCCATTAACATCTTGAACTATGGTGTAAGTTTTGTATTTTTATTCTAGAAATATAGCTGACATTAGCATTTAGGCATACAGTTCAGTTTATCTCTAGTGAAAGTCTTTTAAAATTGTTATATACAGCACAAAGGACATAGAAAATCAATAATATTTCATTTCTTTTAAGTAAGATCCTTCTATATACATTTGCTTGGGTTGCTTATAAGTTTCTTCCTTTATAGAAGTATTTTGTAATAAATGTCAGTTATGGATTTAATCGTAGCAAAAAATAGTGCAGGTTCTGTAGTACCTTTAATATATCAGGTAAAAAACTGCTTAGCTAAGTATTAGTGTAGTAGAATAGTACAATTTCCTAAAAGATATTTTTTAAATGTAGTGATATTAATAGGAGCGCATTTAGGACCTTAGTACATGGAATATTGTAGAATTCAATGCATTGTACTTTTAAAATATTTAAAGCTTCTTTGTTTATTGGTTTGCCGATCATAACCCTTTACACAGTGTAGAGATACTATAAATATTTTCTGTTGAATGTAAACTTGATTTGAAAATACTCTTCTTTTTTAATCTAATTACTCTCATACTAGTATGATTTGGTTACCTCAATGTTATCTTTGTAGTCTAAAGAATTGTAATATTAGTTATAGTTAAAATTGAATTTTGGCAGTATAATCAATTGATGGAACTGGCTAAAATTAATTTATTAGAGTATTAGAAATTGAACATTGGGCAAATTCAGTTTTTTAATAGTCATGTATGCATCAGTAAGTTTAAAAGCACACTCTAGGGGGTTACTAAGGAAACAGTTCCTATTTTTTTCAGAAATAGCTAATTCAATACAAACTAAGTACTCATTAACTTCCTCTTAATTTACAAATGTGACCACATTGGTGTTTAATGTGGTAACCTAGCCAGATAGAATTATATTTTAAATTGGTCTTTACCACTAAAATATATAAACTGGAGAAAACTTTGCTTCATTCATAAATGCTTAAGGATAAATGAAAGGCGGAGGTGGTTTTGGTGTTGGAAGGGACACACACAGTGGTCTGAAAAGGGTATTTCCCAGCTGTCAGATTTGTTTCTGCTTAAGAGAGATTGATGAATTTGAGAGTAAGGGAGAATTAGATGCAGATTAAGACTTCAGTGAATAATAATAGATGAATAAGATCAGCATTTAATAGCTAAATGAAAACATGTGACAGTGTTAAAAAAAATATACAGAGCACTTAAATTAGTGACCTAGGTACTTTATAGTAATTGAAAATATATAAGTGAAACCCAGGAATTCTACCTTTTGTTAAGACTCACATGGTACTGAAAAATTATGAATTGTTCCAATTGCTTTAAAAACTGTTGACATATTGTTTCCATTTAAATATTTTATATTTCACCTTCTGAAGGAGTTTGGAATATTGGTGTAAGATGGAACCAAGAAATCTTTATCTAAGAAGAGATGCCTATAACATTTTTTTCCCATTTCTGAAAATAATATTTGCCTCCTTAAATATTTCTCTATACTTTTCTTAATGGCAAAAGAGAAAGTCTTATCACATGTAATAGTAATAATTACTGATAGCTTCATTAAGTGTGGCAGTTGTAGATGTTAACCTGTTTTAGAATTAATCTTTATAAAGTATCCTAAAATTTAAGAATGATTTTTGTCTTAATATATTTTAGGTGAGAATATAAAATGTACACTCTTGACAAGGGTAAAATGTTTGTGGTCATAAATAGACTAATAATTGGAAGGAATTTTCCTGTTCTTTTAATTTTTACCTAATAAAAGATGGAGTTAGTCATCCAGGTGCTTTAGACATGAAAAAGGCCTTTTGGGGCCCAGCAAGAGTATCTAACTCTTAGATAAGAGTTCAAACAGAAGAAGTTCTTATGGCCTTTGAGGTTGCAGAGGTGTGATTTCCTGCTGTCTCTACTTGGGTACTCTGTTGGCTTTGGTTGTTTGGTATATCTTTCAAGTTTATATGATTTAACTGTGGATGGAGGACCAATGCAAATGGGTTGATTCACCTGCAGATATACTTGGGCAGGTTTTCATTTGAACACCCATCCCAAGGCCATATGAAGAAAGCAGAGTAAAATTTTGGTTCAAATAATTGCCAACTTAAAATTTATTTTTAAGTATTTGTCCCACTTTATATGGGACATTTTACACTAACAAGACAGACATTTTTATTATATTTTCAGCTATAGGATATCAGTTTACTTTGGACTAGGACAATTTTTAACTTTATGTGATTTAAAGGAAATACTTTTAAGGCTGAGGATATAGTTCAGTGGTAGAACACTTGCCTAGTGTGTCTGAGGCCTTGGGTTCAATCCCTAGCACCACAAAAACAACAAACAAAAAAACAACTCACCACCAACACCACCATGGTAACCTCACTTCACTTACCTCTTAACTTGCATACTACAGCCTGGCATATTTCACTTGGTATTGGGGAAATGGTGGAAAAAGCTCGTACTTCCAAGGAGTTTTTCCATTCTGATAGGTAGTAATAGGCAATATTCAAATAAGCAAATAAATGAGATAATTTTAGATTGTAGTAAGTATAGTGAAGAAAACAAAATAGATAATAGTATTAGAGGGAGATTGGGAATTGAGGGTGGGGAAAGTCGAGCTATTTTAATAAAGAAGTAACAAAGGAAGGTCTCCTTAGGATGTGACAAAAGGTTTTGGGCCACTTAAGGAGTTATCTGGGAAATGTGGGGGAAGCAAATAATAAAGGTCAGACAGGAAAGGGTTGCAAAGGAGGATGGTGGACAGTGGAGTGGGGGATGACAGTCACTGGGTTGGTTATGTTGCTGGGTTACATCATGTGGGGCCTTGGAGTTGAGAGTGGTGTTTTTATGATTACAGGAGAAAGTCATGAGAGGAGTGGTGGGAACTAGTTTATGCATTTGAAAGCCACTCTGGCTGTGTATAGAGAAGATTGTGGGGGGCAGAGGAGTAAGCAGAGAAACCACATGGACTCTTCTGCCATGTCAAGGGGTGGAGTTGATTGGGTCCTAGACTAGAGTGGGTACCTCTGGAGGTTCTGAAGAGATGGATTTGGTATGGGCAGGTCATAGCCCCAGGGCAGGAAGGGGGCTGGGATTTTTTTTTTTTTTTTTTGCCTTTACCTAAATCCTATGGTTTCTGATGGTTATGGCAGCTTTGAATCTCATTATATGTGGCAAAGGAGGGCACATAATGAAGTAATTTATAGCACACACTTCATACACTCAGATTTCATATTAATGCAACTAATGAGTTGCAATATTTATTCGATTTGTTTTAAATGTGACGTTTTGTTATTGCAGGAAATGTTTTCATATTTGTCCAGTCAACTAAAGAAGTTGTCAGAAGCCTACAGTGAAAGATTATTGCAGACACCTCACAATCCCATTTCGTTAGGTAATTTTTTCCTTACAAAAAGAAAATCCCTACTTCTTATCCTTCCTTAGGAAGAAATCGGTCTTTACAGCAAAAGAACTCTTTTTGTCTACATGCTATTTTGAATTTATTGCAGTATTAATTCGTAAATTTAAAAAATTTAACCTTTAGAAATGCTTTAATTATTTCAAAAATAAAATCTATCCACTGAATCAGGATCAGTGAATCCTTTTTTTCACTATGATACTTATAGTGAATATACATAAAGTAATAATTTAAGTCTTGCTTCTAACCAAAATACCTTGGTCACTAGTAATAACTCTAAATAATTAACACTTTCTCCAGGATTGGGGGTGAAGCTCAGTGGTGAAACACTTGTCTAGTATAACAGAATCCTTGAGTTTGATCCCCAGTACCATAGACTTAAATAAATAAGTAAAACTCTCTCCACTTAGCAATATCAACATATCAGAAATTAAAGTTTTTCTTATTATTTTAAAAATGTTATTACTTAAGAGAAATCTGTATTTAGCTTACGTAGCGCGCGCGCGCGTGTGTTTGTATCTATCCATCCATCTATCTATTTTTTGTACCAGAGATTGAACCCAGAGGCACTTTACCACTAAGTCACATCCCTAGATCTTCTTTATTTAGAGACAGGGTCTCACTGTGTTGCTTGGGGTCTTGCTAAGTTACTGAGGCTGACTTTAAACTCGCAATCCTTCTCAGGCCTCAGCCCCCCGAGCTGCTAGGATTACAGGCTGTGCCGCCATGCCCAGCTTAATCTGTATAAAGAGAAAATGGTAATATAGAATTATGCATTTAACTAACAAACTTCATAATTACCCCTTTAATTGGTGAATATATATGTATATTTATATAGCATAGTAGTATGGAAAGTGAATCATTTGCAACTGCAGCCTTTTTAAGAATAGGCTTCTGTGGAAAACCTTTGTGGGCACCAACGTAATATTATCCCAATCCCTTGCTGGTAGGCAGAAGCTGGTTTGGGATATCAGAATATCAATTCTGCTGTGTGCTAGCCTCTCATCAGTTTTTCCCCTATCTCTAAAATAGACATAATTATCCCTCACATGCAAAATTGTTAAAATTGGTCGAGGTTATGTTTGTAAAGTATCTAGTAAGTCAGCCTTCAGGCATGTCCACAGTTTACCCCCATACTCTCAGAAGGATCATTTACATAAGAAGTTGATCTTACAGTCTTAAATATGTACTAAACAATCTCCCATATTCTCATTTTACAAGTTATTAAAACTTGGATGAGTTTGAATAAACAACCATTACTAATCTTGTCATTGCATCATCTATTGAGTTGGAAAAACTCACTTTTGGGGAAGGCAATGTGGAAATTCTGTTCCTGGTTGTGACCATATTAATTCACATAAAACTATGTTTGTATGATATTCAAACAAATCCCTTATTAAGTGCATTTTAAAGTGATGTGCCACTTGACAGACACTGAATAAGAAGTATCTTTTTTTTTTTTTTTTTTTTTTTTTTGGTGCTAGTAAACCAGAGCTTACAGGGATATTTTTTTTCTTTTTCAGCTGTGACACTTAAGACACTAGATGAACACCAGGATAGAGCTGTCACTCAGCTTGGCTCAATGCTTTTTACCAGACAGGTTTCTGGAGCCAGGTAAGAGTAATTTTAAAAGATACTTAGGATATTTAATGGCTTTCCAAGTTAAGTCTAATAAAATACTTTTCTTCTACAGTAGCCCCCCCCCTCCTAAATATATGCTAAACTATGCCTGAGAATTCATTGTGTACTCAAAGAATGATGAGATAGAGAATCTGTAAGAATAGTAGTTGCACCTGAAGACTTTCTAGACTTGAAATAGTCCCAGAAAGATACGAATCTTGTTTAATAGTATATAGAAACAGTTTCATTCTTCTCTCTACAGTTTTTTGCCTATTTCCTTTGTTAGATGATTTTTCATTGATATCATATATGATATTAGAAATAAGTCATTACTAAGTTCAAGTGAAATTTTGCTAAAGAAATGGCTGTTTCCTAAACTAAAAAGGGTTATGGAATTCTTGCCTAAGTACTGCCTTGGAAACATGTACTTTTTTCCTCTAATATATACTTAGCATGAAATGAATCTCATTTAGCATGATAAATTTGTTGAAGTCAGAGAAAAATGTCTTGAAAATAAGTATCTTGCTCTAAATGCTTTTCTTCACATACTTCTGTTAAAGAATTTCACTCTACCAGAGGGTAGAAATTTCACATCAAAGGACAGCTTTTTTGAAAGAAGAAAATCTTAGATTAATTTAGCTTATACTTTGATAAACTCTTATCTGTATGTAATACAGTTTTGACAAATGCTTTTTCCAAAATGTTTTTCTTGACCTGACTTTCAGTATTGCTGGTATTTGTCTTTATATTTAGGTTGATCTTAATTTATTGACTTCTTAAAAAAAAAAAAAAAAAAGGTAAAAGATTAGAAATCTGCTTTTATCTTCGTATGCCTGTGAAGTCAAGCTTAGTAAATGCATGGGCCAGAGCTCAGTATTGCAGTTTGCTGATCTGCACCCCATTGTAAGTGGTTACATCATTTCTTCTGGCTCATTGCTGTAAAGCTTTGTATTGTGTAGCACTGATCAGATAGTTAGAATTTTAGTTTGTTGATTTTTTGAGGGGACACACTACAGTTAAAGTGGTTTGACTTAAAGTGTCTATGTATGAATTCAGATTCCAGATTTGGCACAAAAACAATTTGCTTTCTTTTTCTACTTTGAAGATGTAAAAATGTTTGAGATTCCTAGAGCTTGTTGTTCTTTTATAGATGATAAATAAATAGTAATCATCAGGCAGGACTTTTTAATGTAAAATAGCAGTGTATTATATACTTTCATTTTAAGGCTGACAATCCATTTGCATAGGCCATGATTTATTGCTGTTTTTAAGCCTCTTAATAGATGAACGGCTTAGTAAGACAAATATCTTGTTTATGGGTGACATTCTGTTAACATCACCAGACATTAAATTGATAAATCTTTTCCCTTTCAGGGTTGTGCCTCTTGGGTCTGTGCAAACTGTGAGTGGCTACACTTTCAGTGGCTTTATGTCCCATACAGATAATTACCCTTGTGCTTACCTCAATGCTGCAGCAGCCATCGGAATGAAGATACAGGATGTGGACTTGTTCATAAAAAGACTTGACAGATGTTTAAAGACACTAAGGAAAGAAGGAAAGAAGGACAGCGATGTATCTGTAGTTGACAATTATGACAAAACTAAAGATGTGGATATTGAAGAAATGGCTTTAAAACTAGATAATGTACTTCTTGATACGTATCAGGATACTTCTTCATGATGTGTGAGATGTTTCTTTTTGATAATTTGAAAGAAATAGTATGGCTACAGTACATAAAGGCAGTTTAAAGAAAGGAACTGAAATTTTTGAATTGAGAATTTTATAGAGAATATTCAGTTGAGGACTAGACTGTGGTCTGAGTTAGCTCTTGATGGTTGCTGTTTTTTATTTTTAGACTGCCTCAATCTTTTTGATTCTTGACAGGTTAAAATATGCAATTAGCATTTTTCTAATTGTTAGAATATTTGTCAATTAAGCATCATGGTTCAGATAATTCATAGAAATATAATCACTGTAAAATCACCTCTAATTCTCTTTGAAACTTAGAGTGCTTCTTCCTAACCATTCTCCAGTATTCACAAATCACTTATATTTCTGATCATACAGAATCTCTAATGCTGCTGTTATTGAACCTTCCCTCAGGTGTCACAGCGTGCCTGTAAGAGACCTTATCAAAGGAGCAGAGGCAAGACGTAAACTTCCATTTAGATGCCAGAGCAGCGGTTCTCAACTGGGGATGATTTGCTTATATCTAAGCAATGTTTAGGGACATTTTTGGTTGTTGCAGCTGGTGGGATATTATTGACATTTGGTGGGAGAGGCCATGGGTGCTGCTCAGCATCCTGTAATGAATGCATCAATTCCTGGAACAGAATTTACCAGTCTAAGATGTCAGTGATGCTGAAGTTGAGACACAATACTCTGAAATCCATGAAATCCTCAAATGTAGAGGAGTTTTCCATAACAACCTTAGTTATGCAGTAGTTACAGTCATGTGCTGCATGACGACAGCAAGGGACTACATGTTAGATAGTAGTTCCATAAGATTTTATTACCTAGTGACATCATATCCATTTGGGTTTTTTTTTTTGGTGGTACTGAGGATTGAGCCCAGAGGCACTTTTCCACTGAGCTACATCCCCAGTCCTTTTCATTTTTAATTTTGAAACGGGTTCACTAAATTGTTGGAGATGGCCCTGAACTTGTGGTCCTCCTGCCTCAGCCTCCTGAGTCACTGGGATTACAAGAGTATTCCACCAAACCCACAGCCATCTTGGTTTGTGTAACTATTACTTTCATGTTCACTTAACAGCTCCACTAATGATCTCAGACCACATCTCCATCATTAAGCAACACATGACTGTCCTCCAAGAAGCTAGCTCTAGAAATTTTATCAACTATACTGCATAGAGAACCTTAAGTGATAACTAGGGTAACGAGTTCTAAACATGTCATTATAAATTGTTCTTTATGGAACTTGCACATTTTTCCATTTGGGCAAGTGAAAACTTTATTTCACTTGCTGTTTTTGCTTTAAACAAACTTGTATATTGATTAGTTTGCTCAGGTGTGTGCTCAGCCACCATCAAGATTGGCTAACCAAGGGTATTTTGTAACATATTTTTGCTAGGGAGGTAAAAGTTATGTTGTATGATAAATGGATGTATTACTCTTTTCTGTGCCCATATGCTCATATTCTGAGTCTAAAATTCCAGGTTTATTGACTTAACAATGATTTTTATTAATTTTAAGAAATTGACTAATGTCTCAAAGCCTAAGGAGTTGATGAAGCCTCTGAATACACTACCTTGCCAAGGCCATGTTTCCCAAAACCTGTTCTGTGAAGCATTTTTTTCAATTGAGAGATGCTGGGGAGTGGTGTGTATGGGGGGACGTGGAGGGGGGAAGGTCCTGTAGACAAATAATTTGGGAAACACTTTTGTAGACCTGCTCATGGCATATTGAAAGCTCTAGAAAACTCCTTTAGTAAAGATTAATTCAGTTTGACTATGTCCTAATCCAAAGAGAAACCTGTTTTTAAAGTAAGATACTACTTATTAACATCCCCTTCAGCATACATTCAAACTACAGTGGGAGACACTGTGTTGACTCACAGGTTGTAGTTTTCCTGATTTGGTGATGTCAACTGTTCGAGAAAGTTTCCTGGTATGTTGGTGATGTGTGCATTATCTTAGATCCTTTTAAACACGAACTTGGGCAGAGGCCACTCCCTTTAATGTCTAAGTCAGAATGCTTCAGACACTGGTTTGATAGCCTTAAAAGTCAAAACTGGGTTTAGATGAAATACTTAGCTCATATAAATATTATAAAGGTTATTTTAAAATCTATAATATTTGGGGGTTTCACGCATTTCAATTACAAGAACTCATTCCAAAGGAGTAAATACTGGGTTGCAAAGTTACATAATGTTTTCTGTGTGAATTTGGGACTAAATTGTAGAACCAACAAAGATGAACCAGGCACAAACCAACCCTTGGAGTCCGAGATGGGACCAGAGCGATGCTGCAGATGTAAGTGCTGGCAGTGCAGCGTGCCCTGCGTGTGAGCCAAAACTGCTTTGTAGAGCGAGTGATCTATACCGTGTGGTCATCATTTAGATTAAGAAAGGCCAGAGTCAAGGGTCGAGCACATCTCTTCATCTGCAGTGCATCAGCAGTTCTTGGGCTTCAGCTGCTGAATAGATAATAACTAATTAAAGGTAAATTACATGAACCCACGGGTGAGTGATAGATACGCTAAAACATTTTGTTCCTGATGCACAAAATCAACTGTAATTTTTACTGTAACCGCCCCCTCCCTTGTCAAGTGTTTTTGAAATTCCAGGTCTGGTCCAGCTGACTTCACATGGACCCTGAGGTCACAGAACTCACCAAGTGTTTGAAGGGATGATGTTGCTTCTGTCTCTTCAGGCTTCCTTTGCCCCCACCCCAGGGTCATCTTCCTCCCTCTCCCATTTCTACCTACATAAAAGTCTTAAAAAGTGTATACATAACTTTCTATAAATTGCTAGCCTCATAATCTGTTACCTTGAACTGTGTCAGGGCCAATAGGGAAGAATTTTCTATCTCCTGTCTTTGTGGTCCCTTATTAACAAGGCCATCAGATTAAAATTTGGGAGTTGGGGTTTTAAAGTCACTGAGCTGTATTGGAGGAGTCTGCCCAGAAAAGAAAATGGAATAACATGAACTCTTGTTTTGGTCACTTACAGAGCAGGGAGAGGGGCTTTAAATCATGCTCTTACTTTGGCTCTCGATCCTTTGCAGATGAGTCTTTCTATAAGGGGATGATATGTGATTCTAGCCTCAGGAACCCCATGTTCAACTATAAATCTTCCTATTTAGCTTTTTGTGTTAGTTGAATTAAGTTGCAGGATATGAATTATTGAATGCAATTCTGTTTAGCCAATAGGCACTTGATGAACAGAATGGTAAATATAAATTAAATTCTAATTTACATAATTCTGCAGTGGTTCTCTTTAACAACTCATAATAAGAACTGTCATTGAGACCCGAGCTTAGATGTGCTTTTATTTTTAGACTATGCCTGTGGTTTCCATAGATTTTAGTGAAATTTAAATTAAACAAAGGTGTTTTTGTTGCCGCTGTTGTTTTACTGGTGATGTTGCTTTAATAATGAATTAGCTCATTCTGAGAGTTAAATTCTGTGTCCCTTCATAATCAACAATTGAAAACAATAGCAACAGCAATAAAAAAAAATCCACGAATCTCTTATACTCAAGAGAAGTTTTTGGAATACACACACATTTTGCTGCACATAAAAATTGGATTTACTTTTCCCACTAACTTGTTCTAATTTCTGCCAAGCTCTCACGTGGTTTTGTTATGTTTTACATTCATGAGCCTGAGGTTATTTTTGCAATTTTAGAAAAATCCAGTTTTGAATTCATTAGAAATTATTTCAGACCTCCGAAAAGTTTGATGATAAGAATTGATTGAATATGTTGTTACAGGTTTTTTTTTGTTGTTGTTATTGTTTGTTTGTTTGTTTGTTTTTTAAGAGTCCCTGCAGCAGTCTTCCCTTTGTCAGGTTGCTTTGTGACTCCTGTGGTCTAGTCTAGTCCAGGGTCTGACTTACCTACTTTGTCCTCTTGTGCCTTGCTTTTTACTTTCATTCTGTCCATTATGTACAGTGTAAGATGGTGAGTCGAGGGCTAATGAATGCCTTTGTCACTTTCCACCTCATATTCTACATTTCAAACTGAGGCCTTCAGCAGAACTTGGAAATGTTCTTCTGTTGTGTCAGGTGCTGTCAACATGGGCTTCTGGAGCAGTGTGAGGAAAGGTGATGTTCCACTGTACAACTGGGAGCAGTTTTAGCCATGAGAATGTGAAGCTGATGTCAGCCTGCTAACTGTATGTCTTATAAAAGGGAAGAAAATGTTTCCTGGGATATTTTTGGTGTAGACTGTTTAAATATAAAATTGAATTGTATAATTTATTACATGAAATTAATTTTTAATAAACACTAATAGTACCTCATATTATTCTACCTAGTCATATTTACAGATAAAACATAAAAGTACAAATAACTGACACTAAATTACTTGCCTGTTGTTTGATTTTGTCGTCAGTATCAACTTGCCCAGAAATCAGCAAGAAAAGTTAGACCTATACTGATATACGGCTGGGATCTGAATTATTTTGATGATGATTGGTAGTAGGGTTTGAACCCAGGGGCACTTAATCACTGAACTATGTTCCCATTTTTTATTTTTATCAGAGACAGGGTCTCGCTAATTTGCTTAGGGCCTCACCAAGTTGCTGAGGCTGGCCTTGAACTTGTGATCCTCCTGCCTCAGCCTCCTGAGTTGCCAAGATTACTGGCATTTGTCACACCCAGCTTGAATTATTTTTTTAAAAGGAAGGAGATGACATTTTGCAAAGGGCTGATTGACTATATAAAGTTGGACACTTAATAGTATCTAACCTTTCTAAAAGAAATATTTTTATTTGAAAATAAAATAATTAGTGTAACTTCTTCAGATTTCTTTTTTTTAAATATATAATTTTTTTAGTTTAGTAGGATACAATACCTTTATTTATTTATTTTTACGTGACGCTGAGGATCGAACCCAGCGCCTTGCACATGTTAGGCGAGCGCTCTACTGCTGAGCCACCACCTCTTTTGCTTTTTGAATTATGGAGGTGGTGTCTTTGGGAGTCACATCTCTGTACTGGTACTTACCACGCAAGCTCACATATGACCCCTCTGAATCTCATTCCCATCAATGATATGTGAAGTGCACACCGCCTTATAGGATTGAGGGTTGAGTGAAATAACACTTGGAGTGATTAACTCAGTGTGGGAGTCAGTACTGTTGACTGCTGTGATACTCTGCTAAGCAGTGTTAGATCTAAGTAAAAATGTCTTCTTTATTATCTGTTTATTCCAGAGAACTTTTTTGAGGGAAGTCGTCAATGAATGTTGTCCATACTCCAGTGGAAATAAATTTCAAAAATTGATAGTTGACTTCAGATGACCTTTTTAAAAAAAATGTGTAACTTTTAGGGTTTTCCTACTTTGTTTTTATGAGTTTCCTTTGGTTTTGCATTTAAATTTGAGGATGAAAACATACACATACACACTTACACTTTTAAAGTGCAACAACTATGCACCTGAAACTTCAAATCTGAACCCTGGAGAGATATACAGAACAAGTTCGTATCACAGTGGTGCCGCGGGGATTGTGTTATCTGACAGCAAGGATTTTGTTGGAGTCAGTAGACTTATAAGTATAACAGTTGTTCGGTATCTTTAGCCTTGTTCTTCCAGAACTTTAGGTAGGACAGCTGGTCGGGGCTCTAAATTTATATCTCGAACAGACCTTTTTTCCTGATCCCTCTGCTTGTAAGCAACTGCCTAATCACCGTCTCTTGGATGCCAGCTGTTCATGCTCCTGATCTTTCCACTGCTTAGGCCCCAAACCTGGGAATTATCCTCCACTCTACATCTGATCAAGTAGTCGTGTCGTATTTGCCTTGGAATTGTACCCAGGGTCAAGCCCTTTCTCCTTCCTGTAACCAGCCAGCTCTGAACCACCAGTGTTCCTTGGTTGTGTGGCTTAGTGCCTTCTTCCTCCCCCCACAAAAGGTCTCCCTGCCTCTACCTTGGCCCTTGTGCGGTCTCTTCTCAGTGCAACTGCCAGAGGGACCGTTGAAATCCACCTCCTGTCACTTACCTGCTCAAACTCTTGCCAGTAATTCCCTGTACAAGCCAGAGTCCTTCCTAAGTCCCCAAAGGCTCTGCTGCATCCACCCGTGCTACCCAGTCCCTCATCCTGCCGACTCCTCTCTCCCACACTCACTCCTGCCCCTCGGCTTCAGCCACGTTTTCAACTCCAGGACACCTGGAGAGCCTCAGCCCTGGCTGTTCCCTCGGCCTCTTAACCCACATGCCTGGCTAACTCACTTCCTTTGCAGTTTTTATTAAATTTCCTCCTTTTCAAAGACTACCCTTTTAAATACTGTAGCTGTCTCCCTGACCTTAACACTGTTTCAAATTCAGCTTTTTCACTGTTGTGACTTAATGACCCAACTAGAACAACTGCAGAGAAGGAAAAAAATTGGGGGGCTCATGGTTTCAGGGGTCTCAATCCATAAACAGTAGACTCCATTCCTCGAGGCTCAAGTGAGACTGAACATCAAGGCAGAAGAGTGTATCAGAGGGAGGAAGCTCACGTGATGGCCAGGAAGCAGAGACTCCACTCACCAGGTACAAATATATACCCATAGCCAGGCCCCCAATGAATCACCTCCCCCAGCCACACCCACCTGCCTCCAGTTACCACGCAGTTCATCCCATCAGGGAATTCACTGATTAGGTTAAGGCTCCAGCCCAATCATTTCTCCTCCAAACCTGCATGGTCTCACAGGTGAGCTTCTGGTGGACACCTCATATCCAAACCATAACCCTAATTGACGGTGAGGACTCCGTTTCAGTATTCTGATTTAAATTCAGGTTGGAATTCAGTAGGTCTGGGGTAGGGCCAGCATTTTTAGTAAATCCTTAGGTGATACCTGTACTATTATTTATGGGCCTCATGGACCACACTGGGGACCAGAGGTCCAACATGCTATGCAATTTACATATTCATTATGTCACCTGGTGTGTCCCCCATGCTAGACCAGAAGATCCATCAAAGCAGAGTCTTCTACGCATGTATCCCAAGCACCTAAACTTCACCTGCCACACGATGCATTCTCAAATACTTTTATGAATGATTCAGTAGGTATTGTTAAATATTTATATAGCTACATATGAAATCCCATCGTGTGTAATTGAAACTATTCAGTAATTTTCCATCTCTCTCCAAAAATTTTCCTTGAGGTGGCAGACACAAAGATCTCCCTGCAAGGAAGCCTTGCTCCCAGCCGCTCCACTGACACCCTCCTGTCTGAGCCAAAGTTATGCTTTTCAGCCAGTTTCTGAGTCAGGCTAGGGGGCAGGTGTCACGAAGGCAGTGTCCTTCAGCAGGCAGCTTCACTTGGGGGGCTCCCTGCTGGGCTGGCAGATACTCTTGTCAGGCCCGATCACAGACAGGCCGATGCTCGCCCCCGCCCAGCTGCTCCAGTTTCTTTGACAGGTGTTGGTCCCCCATAAACCTTTTGCTTCCTTTGCCTCTTCCTCTGGTTTCCAGAGGATCCAATTCACAATACCTGAGACCAAAGGCCTCTGCCTACTTTTCTACTCTGGTTTGCTCCCTCCTCCCTTGCTTTAAACGAACCTGCCAAACCCTGGCATGCACCATGTGGCCCTGTTCAAACAGTAACCCGCGGCCTCCTGAGTCTCCTGTGCTGGCCGGCACAGATCCACACAGTTTCTGTCTGGCCTTTTTAAGCTATTTCCTGATTTAAAATACAAATTACCATTTTGAAGTGTGGATCCAGACTTAACGCCTTGGCACACCTTTGATAAGTGGTCCACAGACAGTGAGAGATGTCAATCATGCAATAACCACTCTTCAGGAAGTTTCCTTCAAAGCCATAGAGTGACAACAGAGTGAGAGGCCAGACTTCAACCCTGGCTCTGCCACTCAGAGACTGGGCACGAGTTTCTTTTGACTACGTGTAAAATGAGGATAATAAGACCTCACAGGGGTGAACAAAAAGATCAATGAAATTATACATGTACTGAGCAAGGAGTCAGGTATGTGGTGAGCGGTGAGATGTCGCTATGACTAAATAGTAGTTAACTAGAAGCAAGGCCAAGGAAAAGCTCTTTACTAAACAGCACAGGAGTAGTCCTTGTGAGACGTAGGTGTGTGTGTTAACCTATGTTGATTAAGACCAATTTATCCAGGCTTAAAAAGAAAATTGAGCTGGGGATCTATTCACAATGCTTGGCCTACGGTGGCCCTTCTGGAGATGACCGCCTGCCTCCTCTTGGCTCTGCCATGATGGGAGTCATTCCTGTCTCTTCACTTTTTCTCTTGTTAAAATACAGATGCTGTGGGAACTAGAAACTGCCATTTATCCTTGTCAGTTAGTGGTTCATTGGTTTGGGTGAGTTTATCAACTGCTACTGCAAGAATGGGTAACAGAATGGCTAAACTAACAGAAAACCTTTTTATCATAGAAACTTTCAAACCTATGCCCCGCCCCCCACAGGGGGGCCACTGCATGTCCCTCGCTGAGCTTGGCATTCACCAAGTCCCATTTTGTTTCACACACCCACTGGCCACTACTCCCCTCTAGTATGTCAAAGCAAATCTCAGGCATCATTTCTGAGTGAGGGTCACATCTTAATATGTACCTCCAAAGCAAAGGACTTTGATTTTTTTTTTTAATTGTGGTATCCTTAGCCCACCTAAAAGTGTTGGCAATGACTTAGGGACCTAGATCATTCAAATACAAGGTCAGGGCTCATTCATTACTTTCCTTTTACACTTGAGTCGGAATCCAAATGAGGGCACCTCTGGGTAGATTTTAGTGGGAAAGGATGAGAGTTGAGGAACAGAGAGCGTTGGAGCCAGTGAGTGAGGAAGCGCAGAGGGGAGGTTCTGAGAGCTCCTGGCCCTGCTCGGTGCCCTGCTCGGTTCCGTTACTGCTCGGGGTTGGGGTCTCAGCGCCGCAGGCTCTGCAGCCCAGGAATGTGGTACATACAGGTCTTCCTGAGGGCTGTGCCCTCCAGGTGCCACAGACCCCAGAGGCTCACCACCAATTTCTTCTTCCCAGGTTCTTGTCTCACGAATTCAAAGACTGAAATTCATGGACGAGGATGAGTGAGCGGGAGAGGAGGATTTATTCAAGTGTCAATAAAAACAGAAATCCCACAGAGGGAAAGAGGACTGGCCAGTCCTCCCCTCTTAGTATGCTAGTCTAGAGGTTTATATGGCACCTGGGTCGATGCTATTGGTCCCAACTTATGCTAATCAGGGCTTGGAAGGGGGCAAATGCGACTGGCTAGGCCCACTCAGGTCTGCTGCCCTCTGCCCTCCCAGCAGCTGGCCTGGCTCCCAGCTTCCCAGGAGGTTGAAGGC